GCGCTCGAGTGATCATGATCGAAATAGAAAAATAGGCTGCTTTAAATCACTTACGCGGAATCTTTTATCTTTAGTGTAACTTCGGGGAAAGGTGTTTTATTTGCCTGTCCATGGAACTATATATTAATGTACAAGCAAAATTAAATATCACAAGTAATCTTCCATACAATATTGAAAACATCATTATGAGGAAAACTTTCTGTGCTATGCTTGTTCTAGTCGCTGTATTGTTCTTTGGAGCTGCAGAGTTTTGTTCTGGTCGGAACACAAGCTTTAGCTGTATAGAAAAGGAGAGAGAAGCCCTCTTGAAGTTCAAACTTTGTTTCCATGATCCATCGCATATGTTGTCTTCTTGGAAAGGCAATGATTGTTGTGAATGGAGAGGAGTAGGCTGTGATAAAAATAACAGATATGTTGTCTCGCTTCAAGTCAGGGGATCAATATTTGGTAATCAACGACCTCAATTGTACTTGATTGCCAATGTAAAGGAGGTTGGTTCAAGTTTGCTGAAGTTGAGATACTTAGAACACCTGGACTTGAGCAACAATAATTTCAATGGTAATCTTATTTCACCCTCCCTTGGCTTGATGAAGCAGTTGAGGTACCTAAATCTCTCTGATGCACAGTTTAGAGGAAGAATTCCTGGTGAACTTGGAAATCTTACAAGGCTTCGTGTCCTTGATCTTTCTCAGTCTTATTATGGGGGATTGAAGGTTGATGATGACATTCAGTGGATTGCTCGTCTCTCCTCTTTGCAACGACTTGATATGAGTGGAGTAAATTTAAGCCATGCCTCATCAAATTTGTTCCAAGTACTTGGTATGCTTTCTTCATTATCATGGTTGAGTCTGTCAGATTGTAGTCTAAAAAATTCTCACCTACCATCTCACAACCACCTCTTTAATGTTACATTGCTTGGAAATGTTCAACACTTCGATATGTCACAGAACTCTTTTCATGGTCCAATACCTATTTTTCTCCAAAACATGACTTCATTGACATTTCTTGATATAAGCAGTGTAAATTTAAGTCTTACATCATCAAACTTATTTCAAGTACTTGGCATGCTTCCTTCACTATCATGGTTAAATTTGTCAAGTTGTAGTCTCAAAAATCATCACTTGCCATCTTGCAACCATCCCATTAATTTTACATTGCTTGGCAATATTCAATACTTAGATCTTTCAGTTAACTTTTTTCAAGGTCCAATACCTATATTTCTCCAAAACATGACTTCCTTGAGAGTTCTTTATCTTTTTAGCAATCAATTGAGTGGGAGTATTCCAGATAGTATTGTGCAACTTTCTAAGTTAGAGAGGATGGATCTTTCTGGGAATCAATTGAGCAGCGTTCCAGATAGCATCGGGCAACTTTCTAAGTTAGAGAGCATGGATCTTTTTGGGAATCAATTGAGCAGCGTTCCAGATAGCATCGGGCAACTTTCTAAGTTAGAGAGCATGGATCTTTCT